TCATTATTGACTGTGTAGCTTGCCAGTGACTGTCATCCTTCCCTGAGGTCTCTTCCAATCCCAGTGCTCTGGGGGAGAGATGGAAAAACTGCATAAAAGGCAGCACTGTTTGAACGCCCTGCTTTCTGCCTCGGTGTCATTTACTGAGCTGTGTGTTCCAGCTTTGCCTGTCAGCAGCTAGAGGTGCAGGGCCCCAGAACTCAGACCCCCCCACCCCCCTATCTCCTCGACAGCTGGCAGGCTTCGTGGCCTCAGCAGGGGCTAGCAAACCTGCAGCTGTCACCCTGATGCGCCTTAACACACATACAGTGTCACCCATGTCACGAGTTTTGCTTGTCCACAGCTTGAGGTGCCATTTCCCCAAAACCCCTGCACCTGTCTCCTTGAAACTTGGCGGGCTTTGTGGCCTCAGCAGGGGCCACCACCCCTGCAGTCTTGACCCTGCTGTGGCTTCACATATAGACATGACTTGAGTTTTGCTTTCAAGAATTTGAGGTACAGTTTCCCCAAAGCCCCCACACCTATCTCTTTGAAACTTGGCAGGATTCATGCTGTCAGAAGGGGCTAGTATTCCTGCATGTTTCATCCAAATCAGGCTAGAAATGACAAAGATATAGGCTGTTCTACCTTCCCCATTATAGCCTATGGGACGAAACAATGGAACAGCAGTTTCGAATCGAAACAAAATGCTGTTCCATCAAAATATCGAAACGCAAGTCGAAATAGAATGGTGCCATTTTGCACAGCCCTAGAAAGGATCTCAAAGCACCCTGGAGTGCTACAAGACCTGGACTGAAAATTACTGATGCAGAGAGTCCTGCAGAAAAGCAAAGTCCAGGTCATAAACTGATAGAAGTTTGCTTCAGATTAGACATAAGGAACAGCTTTTTTATGGTCCGTGTGTCCAGAGTCTGGAACAGACTCCCCCGCAGAGGTGGTACAGCACCTTCCCTGGAGATCTTCAAAAGATGACTGGATGCACACCTCGCTGGGGTCATCTGATTTCAGCAGTCTTTCCTGCCTTAGAGCAGGGGGCCTGGACCTGATGATCTCATGAGGTCTCTTCTAGCCCCTAACTTCTATGAATGTATAAATCTGTGAATCTACACTTATCATGTGTTAAGCACGCAGAGAGTGTTCTAAAGCCATAACTGAACAGACGTTCATGGCTCAAAGAACACCAAAAATAGCAGATAATGCTCTAAGTTAACCCTCAATGGATGTGGTCAGACTAAAGCAGGTTAGGTTAGAGCATTTTTGAACATCTGTACTATATCCCATCCCGTGTTAAGGTAGAGCTCTGCTGCTCTGCCCAAGCAGTGGGCCAGCCCTGCCCCCTGGGCTGCACTTACCCAAACCCCGCATCCTCACTGGCCAGCAGCCTGGCACCAGGGTATTTTACAGCCTGTCCAGGGAATCTGGGCTGGGAGGAAAGGGGTCTCTGTTAAGTGAACAGTGGCTGCATGTGCCTGGGGCCTGGCAGGGCCATGGTGTAGCATGGCTGCTGCTGCTGCTACTGCCACTGGCTCTCTGCAGGGAGTGGAGCTGGGGGGTAGAGGGTGCATATGTGTCTGTGTCTCCAGTTTGGCTCCAAATAACCCAAACGGTGGAGCTTATCACTTTTCCTGGATTATTGTTTTGCAGTCTGACACTTGTTTGAACCATATTAAAAGTGAAGTTTAAATACTGCAAGTAAATAGGCAGATGTGGGAAAAGTTAAATATAGTTATATCAGTTATATATAAGTTATATATAAGTATATAAAAGTTAATAAGACAGGAAGGAAAGATTAATGTATAGTAGTGCACACAAATGCAAAAATATTCATTACCTAAAAATCTATTATTTTTCATGTTTTATTGTTGGTTTGCTTATATCCTGCAGCATGAGTTAATATTTCCCTTTTTCAGTTACCCTTAATTTTTGCTCTGCCGTTTTTCAAAAATTTTCAATGATAGGCATGTGAAATTGCATATTAAATAGCAGCAAAGCATGCACTAACAGTTTTTGAATGTTTGGCTTCAAGTAAAAACATATAGCTATAGATACATCTATTTTTTCTGTCTATGGCTGCTTTGATCATGCTTAGCACTCAAAACTCCTATTGAAGTCAATGTGAATTTAGGGTTTAAAAGGTGCATAAGATTAGACTTGTCATCAGCTGTGCAGATATCATAGGAATACCCTGCACTTGTATGACAATGCAAGACTTAAGACCAATACCATAATGAATAGTGGGTGACTGAGGAACCAGCCCCAGGAACCTACTTAGAAGGGGTGCAAGAACAGCAACTATTGATGCTACCTGCCCAGCCACCACAACTGGGGTGCCTTGGTGAACAGATGTTCTCCTAGCCCCTGATGTTTACCCCTTATATACTTAAAAGCTATCACCAAGTCCCCCCTGAGTTTCTCTTTTCCAGTCTGAAGAGTCCTATGTCTGTCAGACTCTCCTCCTATGGTCTGTTCTCCAGACCTCTAATCATTCAGGTGGCCCTCCTTTGGGCTCTTTCCAGCTTCTCTACATCCCTCTTGAAGTATGATGCCCAGAACTGGATGCTGTACTCCAGCTGTGGCCTCACCAATGCTGAGTAGAGTGGGAGGATGACAGCCTTAGTCTTGATTGTGATGCATCAGTTGATGCATGCCAGGGTGTTGTTCACCTTCCCGGCTATAGCATCACACTGGTGGCTCATGTTCATTTTGTGGTCGATTTCAATAGAAATTAGATCTTGAAAATGAACTATTAAAAATCCTCTATTCCATTCCTTTAGGAAGCTAAAATGTTAAAGGCCTGTACAGAGACCCCCAGGTCTCTTTCATTTGTGGTGCTGGCTAGTGTAGCACCACTGAGCCTGTAATTATTTGTGGATCATGTCTCCCCAGATGGAGCACTTTACATCTCTCAGTGTTAAACATCATCGGGTTTAGATCCACCCACTTTACAAGCCTGTCCAGGCCAGTAACTTCTGTACAGGCCTTTAACATTCTAGCTTCCTAAAGGAATGGGATAGAGGATTTTACTTCATTTTCAAGGTCTAATTTCTATTGAACTCCTGTTCTATTCTAGAAATTGTATTGAATCCTCTTTGGAAAATGCTGATTATAGAAGATTTCACATGTGAACACATTTTCTTCCTTCACATCCCCCTTTTAGCTCACATACGAAGTTAGTTTTTCCAGATCTATATCTCTGAAATACTTGCTTCTCTGAAAGAGTTAAGAAATGCATATGATCTCTCTTTCTTTAATATGTATAAAGAACTTTAAAAAAAGATTAAAATAATCTGCTCCTCCTTGCTTTGATTTATACAATGCAGAAAATAAAGCTCTAAAAGCAGGATGCTTTTCAGTAAATCATAATTAAATATGCAAATGTCTCTGCTAAATTTGGACATGCAATTATATGACTAATCACATTTCAGAAAGCCTGAAAATTGCAATTGCATGCTTAAATAGATGGCCAGGCCCCTAACCCACATGGGTGCTCTTGTTCTTTCATTTCACAAAAAATGGTTTATTTGCTATTAAATTTCACCCCTGAACATTAAATCTATTTGTGAAGGTAATTTATGTGCCAGTTTAGTCATGCCATTTGTACATATGCATCAGAGGCATAGCTTTTGAAAATGTAGCCCAACACATACCTCATTTTAAGTCATGTTGATATGGTGCTGACTTTTTGAACAAATTTTATTTTGTTTCTCCAGACTGGCTGTGGATGGACCATATGGAGCTGCAACTACAGATATTTTTCACTATAAAGTCAGCATGTGTATTGCAGCAGGAATAGGAGTCACTCCATTTGCCTCTGTTCTAAAATCCATCTGGTATATATGCTGCAATCCTAATACAGAACTGATATTGGAGAAGGTAGGGGGAAGTTTGGTTATGATTCCATGTAAAAAGTTCACTGTCCCCACATCTCCTGGTTTTGGGAGAGTATTTAATAAATTAATTCTTGTCTAGATTAGATGACTAACTCCTAGGTCATCTAACCTTGGAAAACTTGCCTTTATTTCTGTTGGGATGGAGGTACTATTTCATCAGTCTGATGTCCAGTTGATCTAATGAATCACCAGAATGGCCTTAGGTAAAATGCTTGTTAATGCCGAAATACTCTACTGATGGCCTACCTGAACATTTTCATTACAGTTTGCTTTCAACCACAGTAGCATCTCCTCACAATTCACCTTGGCATGTAGATATCAAATAAATATGGAAGTGAGGAAGGATATTTGAGCATTACTATAAGTAAATTCATTCTCAACCTGATCAGTATGACCTGGATAATTTTACATCATTATACCACATCAGTGGTGCAGGTGATGAGCAATAGGGCTCTACAAAGCTTCAGGTGCTGATTCTATTCGAAGGAGATTTGGCCCAATTCGGTGGCCAAATCTCCAAATCTGAATTGAATCAGGAGACCAGTTAAAAGGTCTGAATTGATTTGAAGCTCTCCAAATTGATTTGGAATAGATTTGGACAGCTTCAGTGATCCCCACTTGCTGCCGCAGGGAGCTGGACCTGGACTCCATGCTGGTAAGTAGGGGACAGGGGAGGAGAGGCTGGAGGAAGGGGGAGGGGACCATGGGGGGACCCCTGCCAAGCCCCATCCCATGCCCCGCTGAGTGCCCTCTGACTCCCGCCTGCTGTCTTATCCCCCTGCCACATGGTTGCCCCACCTGCCCCAGCTCTTTAAAAAAAAACAACAACTCACCAACTGCTGTCAGGCAGGGGGGTGATCCCTGCTGCCCCCCACTGCCCCATGCTGTATGGGGGGCTCTACCACAAGCCCCCTGCCCACTCTCCCAGTCCTGCCATGGCTGCTCTGCCCACCCCAGCTCCCACTCACCAGCTGTTGGAGTGGCCTCAGGGCTTCTGGAGGCTTGTGGCAGACCCCTCCACGCAGTGCAGGGCAGCAGGGTGCAGCGGGGATCATCTCTCTGCCCAGCAGCACCCGGTGAGTCAGAGCTTTTTTCTTTTTTTTTAAAGGGCCAGGAGATGGGGGAGGCAGGGCTGCCATAGAAGAGGCTGGAAGAGCAGGCAGGGGTCAGAGGGCTTGTGGCAACCCCCCCGCCCCATGTGGCGTGAGGCAGTTGGGATTCCCCCCCACCTGGCAGCAGCTAGTGAATGTGGGATTTTTTTTTCAAAGAGCCCGATGCTGGGAGAGCAGGCAGGGCAGCCTTTGAGAGCAGGCAGGGGCCGATTTGAACATTCGGCCGATTCGGCTATAAACGAATCTCTGAATCAGATTCAGCTGAATTGATTTGGGACAGTGATTCGAATCACCGAATTGAATCACTGTCCCCCAAAACAGCCAAATCCAAAGTGAATACTAGCCACTTTGCACAGGCCTAATGAGCATGACTTTTGACTCTGGCTGGGGGTGTTTTTTTTCTTTTTTACCGAAGTGACTATGAAATCCAGAAGATCAGTACTGATTAAATCTGCCTGGGGAACCTGGACTATCTTCATTTGGTATCTGGTTTAAATATTTCTTACTATGAGAACTATTTAACCCACTTCAGAATTGGATTAATTTGGTCTGGTTAGTTCCATCAGAAAAGGAGAGAGAAATAACACCATTTTAACTTCCAGCTTGTTTCAGCAAGTCATCAAAGGTGTGGTGTCCCATACAGTGTTTCTTGTTACTGATTCTGTTCAGAAAAGTATATACACTTTTCATTTCTGATTCTGAAAACTGACATTACCATGTAGCTTTGGACATTGATTATGCAAAGCAGCATTGCTATGAACTGGCTGTAGTATCCTGAAAAACATCCAGCTGTGCATCAACTCCTAATGATTTGGGATCTTACCATTCAAAAAATATAATTCTATACCCATTAAATACAATAACTGAGAAGTTAAAAAAGAGGAAAATATGTTTTAACAGCTGCACAGTTGTTTTTTTCTATGTCCAACATAGATGTTATAGTACAATTCATTGCAATTTTGGGGAGGGAGGAGGTTAGGATAATTAAAACATGAAGGAGATTGATAATGCTTCTATCCTGCTTAATAACTTAATGGAAGTGTCCCTCTTAAAAACTATAAATGAATAGGCGTTAAACAATTCTTCATTTTTTAGATTTTTTTCTTTCAAAAAGTATATTTTTTCTCAAACAAATGAACAAAAATAGAAAGCTTACACCATCTTCTTCTGAATCAGTCTAGAAAGGCTCTGTTCCACTTCCATCTGTAGTTTTCATATTGGTGCTTCTGGTTCAGTCTCATGGCATTGCAAGCAGCATTCAGCAACACTCAGCTGCTCTCTCACCCTGGAAAATCAGAAAGTTAAAAAGCATAGAAAGAACAATACAAATCATTGCACTTCAAAAAGATACTCTGGTTCCAAGTACAGGTTATTTCCCACAAACCACCTTTGATCATTTCATTGACAAAAGCATATCTGATGCTTTAGGTCAGGGGTTGTTTCACCAGGGATACTTGGTAAGGCCCTAAGGGGTACACATGGGCAGGCAGGGACGGAGCGCCACCCCCCAGAAGCAGGGCTGGGGCAAGGCGAGGTCAGCAGCACCCCTCTATGGGCTGCACAGGTGCCGCCCAACCAATTGGACGGGGAGGGGAGGGGGAAGCTTGCACTCAGTGGCAGATACCGCCGCCATCCACCACCCTGCACTGCCACTCTGTGTCCAGGCATGGCCCCCAGCTCCACGTCCGGCTGCCAGGGGTACATTTATTTAAAAAGATTGAAAACCCTGCTTTCTTAAATCTCTAAACTATCGTTTGTAATTAGGAAAAGATAATAAATAAGACGGTACCTCATGAAGTTGGGATGAAGAAGAGATAATTGTGGAGGGATAGAAAGATGCAGTGGAGAGCTAAGAAAAAAGTGTCTGAAGGTCTCTTTCTTATTCATAATAGAGAGTTGTACTTTTATACTTTTAAACTACTTTTAACTCTAAAAACTTAAGCAGAATTAGTTCAATATATCAGAAAAATGGGCTGATATTGAAACAACATCTGAGTGAGAGGGTACATATACATGGATTTGAGTGCAGGTCTAAGTGCTGCATTGGTGGTTCAGCGAGAAAATTTTTGCTTGCAATGTGGGGAGGCCCCAGTTCGATTCCCAGCCAAGGCCACCCTTTTCCTGTTTGCTTGCCTTGCCCAAGCCATGGCAGCTGCCATTCACAGACATCTAGGGGTAACAATAAACCCCAGCATGAATATGCGCCAGAAATGTGATGCAGTAGCCACTAGGGCCAGTAAAACTCTGGCATGCATCAATCGATGCATCTCCAGAAAATCCCAAGAAGTGATTCACCCACTTTACTCAACATTGGTTTGGCTGCAGCTGGAGTACTGCATCCAGTTCTGGGTGCCGCACTTCAACAAGGACATGCTAAAGCTCAAGGAGGTCCAGCAAAGGGCCACCCATATGATCAGGGACTTGCATAGCAAGCCATACGAGGAGAGGCTGAGGGACCTCAGACTCTTCAGCCTAAAGAAAAGGCTGAGAGGGGACCTGATTGCGACTTACCGCTATATCAGAGGCATACATTAGGGCCTCAGTGAACAATTGTTCACCAGGGCACCCTGGGGGAAAACTAGAAACAACGGCCACAAACTCCTGGAAGATAGTTTCAGGCTGAACATTAGGAAAAACTTTACAGCTAGGGTGTCCAGACTATGGAACAAGCTCCCTCCAGAGGTGGTGCAATCATCTGCCCTAGAGGTCTTCAAGAGAAGCTTGGACAGTCACCTGGCTGGGGTCGTCTGACCCCGGATGACTTTCCTGCTCATGCAAGGTCCTAGACCCAATGATCCTGTGGGGTCCTTTCTAGCCCTATGATTCTATTTTTGAACCTTTGTGAGGAGAGGGGAAAAGCAAATTAAAAATGCAGTTTGATGACAAGCTGCTGCTGAAAAAGCACTTCAAACCCCCCTATATGCTCTCTGAGATCACTTAAGGTGGTCTAGAAACTGTGTGCAGGATTTATTAAGTCAAGCCCTTGGAAATACTTTTTACAAGAACTTGGTAACATACAATAGGAACGCTAGCCAATTTGATTTTGAATTCTGGCCTAACCCTAAGTAATAGTCAAATGCTTCTGCCTTGCCACATCTGTACCCTTTTTTGGTGATTCTTAGACAAGAAAAATATCACAGGGTACCAAGTAATTCCTAGTCTGATTTTTAATAAGGGGTGACTTTACCATCCATTGTCCTTTTGGGCTTGGTTGAAGATAGTGTGATCTAAGAGTGGATATAGAGGGATGGGGCCAAAGATTTTCTTGAATAATTTAAGATGTGCTATTCTACTTGTAGAATTTGGGCTAACAAATGTTCCTGCAAATTGGCTTCAGTGGGACTGTTCTAAGTGATTAAAACATGCATAAGTGTGTGGTTTACAGTATTTGAGTGATTTAATCACTTTTATTGTGCCTAAACAACCTTTGTACTGTGTAATGCAGCATTAGGAACTTTCCATTCAAAACACCTTCTGAAATGGAACTTGCACTTTAGGGGAAAACAGCCTTGGAGTAACATCAAGGATGCAAAGGAGTTTTTAGCTTCCCTTGTGTGTGTGTGTGTGTGTGTGTGTGTGTGTGTGTGTGTGTGGAGGGGAGAGAGAGAAAGGGGGCGCATAAAGGGAATCAGGAAATAATTGTCTAGTTGTGGAAGGGAATCCAAAGAGATCACAGAATCAATGGGTGCATCTACACATGCACCTTACTGTGGAGCTCACTTAATTAGCTCCTCCGTAAAGTATCACTTTCTACACATGCACAGGTATTAGGGCATAGTAAATTAAAATAAGTCTGCTGTAGGATAGTACTGTCGGGGACAGTATTATCCTATGGCGGAGTAATTACATGCACTGAAACGCATGTGTAGAT